TTGCATACCAGATGCTCCCATGTGGGGAAAAAAATAGATGATTCTCGCCATGTAAATATATTGATTGAATTTTCATTATGCCATTACTTGACTAGCAGTCATTCCATTTTCTTCAAGTTTTGTTTTTGGTTTCAAAAGATCTGGAAGAGACTATAGTAGAACTTTTTAAACAGGGTAGATATCAATTAAAATCAAAGTATACTCAAAAACACCTATTTTATTATTCTATCCTAGGAAAAGGAATTTGTGGTGAAAAAAATGTGCTGTACATGGGCCCTAGTGAACAAAAGCAAAACTGGAGTTCACTCCACTGAATAAAATTATTCATCAATTTGTACATCATCTGACTCCCAAAAGCTCTATATATTACCTGACATAAGAAACAAGGTCTAGCCACTTTTGTTTGCTTACCACAAAATTGTAGAGTTGTAAGCCACTCAGAATCACTTGGCTGAGTTGGATGGCTATAGAAATTGATAATTGTTCAAAACAATCCATGATAGGTATATTTATTTGTGATAATCACAAAAATTCTTCATGTAAAAAAGCTGTGTGGTCACTCGGGAGTTGATGACAACTTGATGGCACATAATCAATTGCCATTTTCTGATTCAGTAGAAACCTAGAATGTTTTATTTTGGCAAAAACAAAATATAGAAAGGTCCTGAAACAGATAGGAGTACATCATCCCATTCCTGCCTGCAAGAGGTTTGTGCTCCAGTCCAACAGCCATCTTACAAGCTCCTTCTTTTCCTCCCTTAGTTTAGTTCAACTGTTAATTATACAATAGTTTGTGTACATGTTTCTTATTATAATGAATTCAGCAGGAAGGAGCATGCAGGGCATATCCCATTTATCTATCCTCTGATTTTTCCAGCAATTTCTGTTGCCTTTGCTCCTGGACTCTGCCAACCAGTATCTGTACACACAGCTTCAAGGAAACCTTAGTCTTGTCCCCACTTCCACTTGCCTCCCTTCTCTAAACTCTAACCCTTTGCCACAGCTATATTTCAATCTGTACTTTTTGTTTTGCAGGTAGTCCATGACTTCCAAAACATCTATGTTTCAATCTGGACAAAACTAAGAACACCATGCACCAAATTGTGGCACACCCATCAATATTAGTGTGAGATCTGCATAGTATTCATTTGCAGTCATATTATCACCAGTGAGCAGTAAATAGTGTAATCTCATTCCTGAGCCGAGAATGGGTAACACTTTTTGAAAAGAACAAGAGTTGCAGGTGATGGGAAAGAAGGGAAAGACAATGGATATGCTGGATGCATCAAGTGAAATGTTGTTGGAAAAGCCAAGAATTAGCAATAAAACAGAATCAGGATAACAAGAATATGTATAATCCTTGCAGACACCAAAAAGTGAAAGCTGACTTGATAGTCTAAATAAAATTGATTCTGAAAAATTGCCCTTCATTGCAAAATCAACTATTAGCAATAGCAATAGCACTTAGGCTTATATACCGCTTCACAGTGCTTTCCAGCCCTCTCTAAGCAGTTTACAGAGTCAGCCTATTGCCTCCAACAATCTGGGTCTTCGTTTTACCGCTGAAGAAAGGATGGAAGGCTGAGTCAATCTTGAGCCTGGTGATATTTGAACTGCCAAATTGCAGGCAGCCGATAGGCAGCAGAAGTAGCCTGCAGTACTGCACTCTAACCACTGCACTACCTTGGCTCTTCTATTAAGCACTTTAGAACAAAAGATGGGACACTCAATTGATAAAGAGTTCTAAGTTCATCTGCTTGAAAAAGGAAAACAATTTCATTTTAATTGAAGATTTGATATATTTCACATATAATCAAATAATTCATTTTTCTTTGTAAATCAACATTTATCTTTTTAAAAAACTTTTATGGTATTAAAATATCCTATCAAAAATGTAAAATATAAAATTGAAAATACTCTTGGGCAATATTCTACCAGTAGCATCAAAACATTACAGCTACTTACGGAGAATATTTTATTGTCATAAAATGTCAACCTTTTCAAACTTGGTTTTGTTGTCAGACTAGGTTTGTGATACCAAGAATAAACATGCAGGTTGTGCCTGTCACTCAGCACTGGCAACTTATGTCCAGCAGCAAAGGCGGCTGCTATTTGTCATCAAAATTAATATGCAAGGTTTGCTGGCTCTGATCAGCGGGAAACAGCATTCCCATGTTCCTCTGCCAATTCTCACCACACATCATAGCGGCTGCCCCCTCTAGGTTGCTACTTAACAGTATCTAAAACTCTACACCTTCAAAAATAGTTTTTAGAAGCAGCAGAAAAACAAGTCGACCCCTGAATGGCAAAGCATGAGTCAGACAGAAATAGGACTAACACCCATAACTGAATGCGTCCGAGTTGAGAAAATATTAAATATCTGCCTGCCCCCAATGTTAATTGTTTTGAAATAAACAGAGAAATCCTATTTAATATTTACAATAATGGTGAACATTTTAAACCACATTTAATTTGTTCAAAAATAAAGTAGGAACTGTCGTAATGAACCTACCAATGAAAATTACTTGATCTCTAAGTAGACTACGATTTCTATTGACAATCAGCAAGTTCCCCTTAATGTAGAAAACATTAACTTTTTTTTTTAAAAAAATACTTTATTCTTATTTTGCCTTTTTGTCTATTAGCTTCACACAATAATAAATCTTTCTTATTCCTCCCCATTTTTCTCTCTCAATGCTGTGAAACATATTTTACTGTCAAAGTTATCTTTTTCAAGCCAAGCAACAGCTATCCTGGATATACAGTATCTTGGAATTCCAGTGTGGGGACTAAGATTACCAAGTGCCAAGCCTTTTGATAGTAACAAAGTCAAGAAGCAGAAACTACTTGAATTTCTGAAATGAACTTTATTGCTAGTATGGTAATATAACAGAATCTTTAAAGTAGAATTACTTGCCAAAATAATTCTCCAGGTCTACTTGTATCTACCATAATTACATCAAAATACTGAGTCTTTCACAGTTCTATAAGACTTAAGAATTTTTTTGTAGCAGTCCTCCTCCTATGTCTACCTCAGCGTGTCTCCTATTCTTATCACATCTAAGTACTAATGGCCTTCTTCCTTAATGTTTTTTAGGTTTCCTGTTCTGATTTGTGACTAACATATTATGATGATAGCTACAGTGTGACTTGTCAGATCTCATCTCCAAACATTTTTATACCAGTTACCTGCTACCAAAAGGATTTATCAGCAAGAATTTAGGCTACGTTATAAGTTCTTTGATAGTTTCGCATATGATGACAGATCTTCTCTGTGTTCAGATAATAGACTCCATTCAAGAATGAAATCTACAGTGCATAACTTATAGATCCTTCAAAGCAATGGATGCTGCTTCCAGAACATTTCCAATAATTGGCACCAAACTATGACAGAATGAAATACATGTAATCATATTAAATGTATTTGAGTAAATAATCCTGGTCATACACTCTTTTTGGAATGCGGCACTGACTATGCCTGTTTATTTTTCTCAGGATCTAAATTGACTTAGTAGGTCATAGAATGCCTTCTTTGAAGACTCTACTAATTTGTTCCTTTCTAAAATCTGCCAACCAGAATACCAAAGTTTCAAGAGGAGGATTCCTTGTGTCTATAAGCAATAGCTAGTTAATCAGTAATATAAAACAAGAAAGCCAGAATTACCTTGGCTACTGTCCCTCATCATGTAATGCTTGTCATACTGATGGGAAGAAAAAGATTAATTAATCTTTTTCATTTCTTAAATGAACATGCCAAACTGGAAGAGAAATCATCTAACCATACTCTTAAATTTTTTAAAAAAACAAAACAAAACTCTAAAATCCAATCATTGTACTCTTGATATCAAAACACTTCTCAAAAGTAGAATAATTGTATTCATTTATTCATCACATTTCTATACCACCTCTTTCACTTAAGTAACTCTTATTATGGGGGCTTAGAAGCAAGCAAGAAGCTATGCGATGATTAAGTGGCACTGTCAACATTTCCATCTATATTCTTTATTAACTGCTTCCTTCAAGGTGAGACAACATATATAGGTCTTTTTGTGGCCAGGAAAGCAAGTACCCTTTCTTAAGCTACCAAAAAGGGGGGGGGAGGAGGAGGAAGAGGAGGAAAAGGAGAAGGAGAAGGAGAAGGAGAAGGAGAAGGAGAAGGAGAAGGAGAAGGAGAAGGAGAAGAAGAAGAAGAAGAAGAAGAAGAAGAAGAAGAAGAAGAAGAAGAAGAAAACCCACCTTCACTCTTTTCATTTTTGTACATTTAAGACTTGCTTCCATTTACATCTTTGTACAAATCTCCCTTCCCATTCCCACCCACCCCCCAGCTGAAATTCTTCAAACAAAATTACCTACAGCAGCGTTTACAATTTAGTTACAGTGGTGAAGGCCAACAGATCTAAGGAAATGGAGAACAACTCTGGCCAAAGGTAAATTTGGAAGTAATGATCAGCAAAAGGAAACACAGGTTGTTGAGACCATTTATCTCTGATTCTATTGCTAAAGAATACATATCTATGGTAGTCATAGAAGCATCAGAAATCCCAATGGAGGCTTCTTGTCTATGAATCTTGTTAGCAATTTTATTAAGGCAAAGGAGATGTATTCTATTTGAACAGATTTAAAATGGCTTGTCAGGGACAGAATTGGTACCAACAGTACAAATAATTAGCTAACAGATAAATGATTAACTCTTTCTGATTGTGTGTCATAATGTAAGAAAATGTGTAACTTTTTCACTTGCAATATGTAACATCCACCTATAACAATTTAATATTCCATAGGATAAATGCAACATTACCTTTTTCTATTGTTCACAAACGATGCAAAACAATTATTCTTTGTTTACACTGGATTTCACATCATTTTATCTTTGGTTAAAAATACCTCCATAGGAACCTGTTATTACAGACATTTCTATTTGTATTTAAAATCTGATACAAACTGTTGATATATAATCTACAGTGAGAGAGTGTTAAGAAGCCAGGCATAGAAATCTGGGATATACGAAAGTGTCAAAATCTTTAATGACAGTTAAAGAGTGCAAAATGTACATTCTTTATTCTGCCATACAGTTCCATACAGAACAAAATTTTATTTTTCAAAATATAAAAGTAATGGCAGCCCTGTATGCTGTCCTTTGGCGTCTAAGCATAAAGCGCATGTACTTTCCAGTTTCATTGCACATTGTTTACAGGTGTGATGGTTTTTATCTACATGTGTTTGGGCAACATCCATTTTTCCTAATACATGTTATATCGTGGACACAAAATTCAAATAATACAACTCAAAAGGATATTTATATCTTTTAAAAAATCTTTTGTCTAATAATTAGTTGCTCAAATGCAAATCTTTCTCCTGGCAGTAACTCTGATTTAATTACTGCCATCATATCTAATATCAAGAACTGATTATTGCAAATAAATAATCTGTGCTTCTCAAATACCCACTTCTGAGGCAGGATGTTCACACCTGCAGTTAGTTAGCCGGCAGCATAAAAAGAACCAGGAGCACAGTTCCTTTTTAACCAGTTTGATTCAACATTGAGTATTACATAAAGTATTTGACTGGCAATTGTAAATACCTGGAAAAAGGTACAAAATCCCGGACAGAATATCTTTTTTTTTTTTAAAATCAAGATATATTCTGTAATTATGGGCTTTATGGCAACATAAGATGGGCTGCAGATGATTTCACTGCATGAATTCTTGACCGGCTTTCTACTCTCAATTAGTATTTCCAACATGAATTATTCCAGTGGTTCCCTAGTTAATAGGCTGAAAAAAATGAGATTTACAAATGTAAGCCTAAAGAACTATTACTAACATAAAATGTTTAAAGTTCTAGAAATATTTGTTCCAGCAAAAACAAATGCTTTTGTGGCTTCCTAAAGGGAACAATACTGGCAATTTATTACTTGATCAAATGAAATTACAGTAGTTGCTTTTATTTACACTCCACTTTATTAGAGAAATCACAGTCTAAATTCAACTTTAATTTTAGTATTAATTTACCTTAACTATAATAATGTTCAAATTTTAATTGGGGGAAAGCATTTTCCTACCCCATGAAACCAATGCATCACCTGCATTGTTCCAGTAAGATCGTACTGTTTAGAAGACTGTGGGAAATGAAATGGCGAAGGGGGAACTGGAAAAAACTGCACTTCATCCTCCTCCAAGGACAACTCTCTGCTGGATTCTTGCTCTGAATGGAAGTACTAAACAAAATTTTTAATATTTAGCATACTTAAAAATAATTTATAGTACCTGACTTCTTTAAGCTTCACATTATGGCTGTTTTTCAAAATCAAAAGTACCGTTATGAATAACATATTCTTTACATTATTTTCACTCTAGCTACAGAAAAGCTTTTATGACTTTTGTTTTCAATCTATTAAAAGAATTATATTTACCTCAGGAAATATTGGTTTTCCTCCAAAAGAAGTAACTTTTTGTTAGAAAGTGAGCTAATGATGTTAAAAATGTGGAAATGTTATATTTGTTGACTCATGTGATCCTACAAACTCAGATAAATTTTCCTCTATTATTTCTTTAATTAACATAATTAAACAGCCATTTCATCAAATCATATGGGATACTGACTGATGTTATGGAAAGTTATCATGAAATATGTATTTTTTTTTAAAGGCTTAGGTAATTTTAGGTATACGTAATTGTCAATAGCTTTTCATTCCACATTCGTAAAAAATGCTATTTGACCACTGCAGCATTTGGATTGTTTTCCTCTGTATCAAAAAAAATAAGGAGTGGTAGCTATAAAAAATACCTAATTTTTAGTATTAGTACTGTTTAGTCTATGGTGGGTATGATTTCAAATAGGTATGCATCCATGCATATTGTTAATGGATTTATTCCTATTACATTCGATCCTACAATATTGAACAAAACCCATTCCTATTGTGTATTTTTCGGGAAAATAGGCTTGAATATATTGGGACATTTGGCTTTACTTCATCTTTATTTCAATTTCTCTTTTATTATATAATTCATAGCTGGTAAATCCTTATGTTTATCCAGACTCTTCTAATAGATGATGAGTTAAGATTATGTTGCATGCTATTATGAAATACAGTTTCAAATATATTACATATTTTGGTAAGAAATACTGATTCATATGCCACTATATTCACAAAATCTTATTTTTCTTAAAAATGAAAAGGCTTGACTTCATTTTTTAAAAAATAATGTTCATGTTGTGCTTATAACAGCTCAATTTTATGTCTATTCAAAATTAAGCCTTATTACTCTGACATAAATGGATATAAGTTTCAGCCTAAATTCTCTGAAGTGGATCATCGAAAGGAATGTTTTGAACAAATGCTGTTCCATATAAATACGTCTCCCATAAAATATATTAAATTTGAAAACAGATGAATAGGCCGTATTAGCCATATTTTAGTAACCATTATCTATTCATGAAAAACTTGAATAATTTATTACAATAGATTTCTGCAAGCATTTATCTCCTAGATAAGCATACAAAATAATGTTAGACTTCTTTTTAAAATTGATATTTTATATACCTTTTTTGCAGTAATTAATAAATTATCTACTTTGGTTTTAAATAATTTTGAACTGTACTATGATGTCATTTAAATACTACAAACCGTAGATATAAAAAAGAAATGTTCCACCTGAGAAGCAGTGAACCCACAATTTTAAAACTGTTTATTAAGAAACAGTTTGCTTTAAGACAATTTAATTACCTGAGACTTGTCATTTGAAGACTGCTTCTAAAATCACCTTTAGGATCACAAAGAAATTGGAAGAAATATGGATCCTGCTAAGCTAATGGTACTTCTTGCTTTAGATACATTTAGAAATGGGCACAATAATGCTGTTTAGGTACTGAGATGCTTGAACTGTCATTTTAATCAGAACATTCAAATCGAACTAAAAGTTACTATCATAAAGGCTCAACAAAGAATCAAACTGGTTTCTTTGGGCACACACTGTATACCAATATATTGGCATCTTTGCCCTTTTGCTGTGAGGTGACAGTGATTAATTTAGAAAAGGAGATTGTGGAATTAGTAATGCAGATGCTGAAAGGCGAGTGGCAAGACTCTAAAAGAAGATTACCTGCAAATATGCTACTTGTTCCCCACTCTACTGGCACTTACCCATAAGGTAAAAGTCCAATATGACCAAAGCCAATTCAATGGTAGTGTGCAGAATGTCAGCCAAACAAACAACATAAAACAAATCATGTGTTATCTGTGGTCATTTCTTCAGGGTTAGTCCAAGAACTCATAACTTACATTCTTCTGTCCTTCCTTGTTTATTCAATTAAACATGTAATGGTTAATAAACTGACATAGTCCAAAGTTAGTAGGTTGGTATTATAACATTTATTAAAATAATGCTATGGGTTAATAGAAACAGCAAAGAACCAAAGAATTAAAATGCAAGCTATGTAAAAACCCAACTAAAACCCAAATATGTCTAATGTATTCAATCCAGTAGCTAACTAAAAGCCTAAGAAAGACAACACTCCCAATATAATAATAAAGTACTGCAAAACAATTAGCAATTTTCAGTTATCAAAATTGTGGGTTTTGCATTTTTGTATCCTTTTCTCAATCAGGAAAAATTATTCTGAATGTTATATAACATACATATAAAACAAGATAGAAAAATACATTATAAACTTGTAACAATGGCTGTAAATACATTATCTTACATGTTTCTCATAGGCAATAGGTTGGTTATGTTACATACATAGCATCAAACTAAGATAAAAGAATAGACAAATACATGTCATCTGTACGGTTACATACAAGCGACACTCCCATATACCCACTCTAAAAATTACATAATACTGTCAGAAAAAAGACTTAAACTACATATTTTAAGAAAGAAAAATTCAATAAAGGATGATAATACTGAGAACCAAGGCATTCAGAGATTCAAAAGTCATGCTTTAAGTTGATCCAAAATGTTATCAACCAAGTTTTAAAACTTTTTTTTTTTTTCAGAACAAACATTACTTTTAGAAGTCACACTTCTCCCAAGAAGAGACCTCTGATCAGCATCTAAAAATGTCCAGGTTTATCACAGTTGAGATGAAACTGGATCAAATACTGGTAACGCTATAGCAATCCTCTCTCCAAAATGTTTGAGTGTCGCAAGTTTATTTAACCAAACAAAAATCAAAATGGCACAGCATATACCAAAAGTAAAACCAAATAAAAAAACAACAAAAATGTTATGTAACAGGAAGACAAAGCCAGTGGCAGAATAAAAGGAAAGCTAGCTGCGTACAAAAAGATGAATGTTTATTGCATAGTAAATAAACTGATACTTGTTTCCAGGTGAGACACAATGTTGATAAAGTCACCATGCAGATGCTTAAAAAATAAGCCCTCTTTATCTAACTTACTATTGACCTTTGATTTGGAAACTGTGAAGGTTTTTAGGAGAATAAGCTGACACAATATAAAGGGCAAGGTATCACCTGATCTTTGCCAATTTGCTTCAAAGCCGTGACCATGTTGATACTTGCTCATTAATTTTACACTCCACTTTTGTGCGTAAAGTGTTTATAAACACTAGTGTTAATTAATACTAATTCAGCCACACAAACTTCTTTTAAAAATTCAAACTGAACCACAGCTGGATTTTCCTCCTTTAAGGGAAAGCGCAACCAGTAGTTAACATTCCTCAAGTAGAAGTTTCATGAAAAATTATGTAAATCCATACGCACTTGGCATTGTAGCTAATCATCCAGAACTTATAACATGCTCAATCTTACTGTTTGGTTTAGTCATGGACGAAATTATATGGGAGCAAGTTTAAGTTCTTTTGTAGTTTCCTGCATCTAGTTCAATCAGAAAAAGATAACTGATCTCTAAATAATAATAAAAAACCCAAACACTTGCTACTCTATAACTATTGTTATCTTATAATTTGATTTAGAATGAAACTGCATCGTAGAACCCTTTGGTTTAAGGCTGAGCAAGTATTATAAAAATATATTGTCTACAATTGAAGAGGGAACGTGTTACAAAAATATTGCGGTCGGCTGTTGGTGGAACAATTCTATTTCACAGTTTGGGATCTGGCAAGGTTGCATCATGCTGTGGCAAAAACCAGGTAATTTTAATAGTCAACTCATTTGTCTTTCCTCACAGCTTCTTTTCACATACTGGGCGGACTGAGTGGCATGCATTAACTTGCTGTCTTAGGGAGGAGCTGATTATACGACACACCTGACTAAATGACCATGAAGAAAATAAGGCACTTTCTTTTCTTTATACTTATTCCAATACTTAAAAAATAAAAAAAGAAAGACAAAAAGGCTCTTTTGGTCTTTTGTTTCTCGACAACCACCAGAAAAAATCATTTAATGAAATAAAGGGTTTCTTTGTTCTTTTTTCTTTTTTATAACACTTGAAAGTATAAAATGCTACATTTCCAAAAATATATATTTCTTCTGCACCAGCACCCTTGTATAGTAAAAGTATCTACTTTTTTTTCAATTTGTTTCAATGCACTACACTTTATCTACAATTTCATTACATGTATACAGCAAATAGGCAAGCATGGCTTTTATATCCTTATGAATTTACTCTATACAGGGAGGTTTAAAAAAATATTTGAACAGTTTGCCCAGTAATGTGACACATAATGCATGTACCTTGTACTCATGTAATTTTTAAAAGGAAGTTGATGTATAGTAAAAGAACTGTATCTCAGCGTTAGCTTCGATAGGGTTGCTGTCTTTTAATGCATTGATGTGGTTCAAAAATTCAGTAACCTATCTTTCATGGCACTTTTTTTTTTCTTAAAAACACCCAATTTGGCAGGTAATATAAAAAAGGCTGCATCTTCTGCCCTTTGAGGGCATTGGTAGTGATTACACTGCATGTCAAATTTTGAATACTTTTAGGAATCCCTTCACCAATGATATCCCTGACCAAAGGTTCATGCATGATGCATCATCACACAGTACATTCAAAGAGAGCTTTGACTTCTTTATGAGAAGAGAAAGATTCCTAGAAGTCTCACAGTAACTGCCTCTGACATCAGGGAGTTAAGGGACATCTGCTTCCATCTCTTAAATGAGGCCCTTCTTACCATTTTTAGGGTAGGACACTAAAAGATGATCAGTGCGGAAGGATGAATTGGACCTTATTGCTTTACTACTATTCAGTGCAGGTTCTAGAACCACTTTCACCCAAACAGGGAAAAAAAGCTGAGTTGGAGGACAACAAATTCTTTGTCTTTTTGTTAGATGGTAAGACGAACGGACAAATGCCTCAGCTCGCTGCACTGAAGACAGACAAGCAAAGGCGATTACCAGTTAACTGATCAGCAGGCAGGCATGGTCAGGTCATCATTGGGTGAAGAGTTCAGAGGTCAGAAGGTCATAGGTTAGTTGCCGGTGGCGGCTGGGTGGTTAGAAACAAAAAAAACAAAAAACAAAAAAAACAAAAAAAGAAAGAAAGATAGAGAAGAGATTAGTTTCAGCTAGTGACGGCTTAATGACAACATGAAAACTAATCACAACTAATAAAAACAAGCATGTTTAATTCTGACATACTGCTCGACACCATCTACAGAATGCAATAAAAATCATGACAGCCTAGTATCATGATTTGAACATATGAAGGAGAAGCCCAGTCCCCACAAAACTGGTTAACAAGGAAAAATAGAAATAAAAATATAACTAATGGTTAGTAGCAGTCAATGAAAGAAAAAACAAAACAAAACAAAACAAAATGATGAACAATTTCTGGAACTTGATAAAAGAATTGAGAACAGTCAGCGCACCATATCAGTATCTGACTGCTATTAAGCATTAGTATTCTCCCATGTGCAAGCAATCAAAGCAACTAGTAATGATGAATGTGATTATTAATAACTGACTGTTAAGAGAAATGAATCTAAGAAATTTGATTTGTTGACATTTGATTTCACAAACTACCGGCCAAACAAGTTTTTTGTTCAATAGATTTTATTGCTTTTCAATGATTCTATTTACAATCAACACTGAACTTCTTGGCTTCATGATACAAAGCAATACTAAATTGAAGTCTAAAAGAGTAGGCATCGTTCATGGGAAACAGGAAAAGCCCAAATGTTCTAGGGAGCTTTTTCCTTTAAAAAAAAAAAAACCAAAAACCTATCTTACACATATAGGACACTAAGAAAATGCACTTGTATGTAAACACTGTAAAAGTCCTGCCATTTAAAATTCTATATTTAAAATGCTCTAGTTACATCAAAAATATAGGAAATCTAATTGATACTAATAAGGCATTTTAAAAACTACAAACAGCTCTTTTTTCAAAGCTAATACTTTGCAAATACAATAAAATTTGACATTTCATATACATTCCTGCTTTATATTTTTATATTTTAAAAGAAGCCACCTGTAAATACTATTTTCTTTTCCAAAACACACAAATATTACAATAAAACATAAAAAAAAAGTTCTCAAGTGGAAAGTTATCATTCCCATTTTTCTTGAGCTGTTTCTTCTTTAATTACTCTCTTTCTCATTCTCCTTCAACAACTTGGTCCACTTTACAGTAGTACAAATTTTAAGACTCATTCAACAGCTTTATTATCTCTAATAAATTCTGAGGTTTGATAAGAATATTTGTACTGTTGTCATTGACTAAAGCAGAGGAGATGAAAGTGAGAAAGGTGTTCAGTGCAAAGTCAGAGTTGTGCCATTTTTAAAAATGAATTCAGTAGGTGCAATGTTCACAGATAGCACATTTTTAAAGGCCGTACATCTTGGGTTGGATTTATATTATTTCTATGGCCTATCATTTAGGCTACAGTTCATGAAGTCTAAAACCATTACTGTTGTAACTTAAATGATACCTTATTTTCCCTGATTTTTTTTTAAATGCTGAGAAGAGGGGTTTTAAGTTAAAAATATTGTAAAAAAAAACCCACCTTAAAATTAATAAATATTTAATGTGGCATCATTTTGCCACTATAAAAATGTGTATTACATATCCAGAATCTTAAAGCGTTCTTGGTACTTACTACAATTTTGATTAATATGGTATTACAATTTGTAGATATAAATTATGTGAAAATTGGCTTTGAGAAAAAAACTTTACTGTTATAGTTTCAGCACTGCCATTTCTTGTGTATTTAAATCAATGCAAGCTATCGTAAGATACCAGTACACCTGTG